TCTGTCTGTCTGTCTGTCTGTCTGTCTGTCTGTCTGTCTCCGTCTACCTTGTGAAACAAAGGATTAGTATGCAAGACAACAAGGCATTGACCAACTTCTACATTTACTCCAAAACTTTCTGGGAATCAAGAAAAGTATGGCCTTCAGGACTTTCTGGCCCACTGTTGCTGTTATTGGAGCTAACTGCGGTTGTTCTAACTCAGTGTGTATTTTTAGGATTTGAGAATGCAGAATTCAAAAAATCTCCAATGCCACACAGTTGTCTAGAGAGTTTGACTGTCACTTGTGATTGCTGTGCAACACTTTGTTTTCATGTTGCAGAGATAAATAAAGCTGGAGTTGATTTAGCTCAAAAGGCTGGACTGTAGGAGAGTGAAACCAGACTGCAGACAATAATCCTTACAGTTTAATTGCTTTTGTAACTAATTAAAACCACAACTGCAATATTAAAAAAAAATAAAAAATCAGACAGCAACTCTATTCAGCTGCAGCTGAATGAAGTGATTCACGTGAGGCAGCTTCACCATCACAACTGTACTCTGGCCTACAAAGCTGTCTCTGTGACCATTCACGGCTGTTCTGTTTATAGAAGAGCAAATGTTATCCTGGAGTTCGTGACAACGCTTCATGTTGATGTTATTTCGGCAGCAGTGATAACCTACGGTAGCTAACAGAGTCTCTTTCATACAGAGATTTGATAAATGAGGTGGTGGAGTGAGCCTCACTCATTGATGCCAAATTCACCCAGAGCGTGCTCTGATCTCACCCATATACACGAGCTACGAGACAACGACTCTCCACTGCATTTTAACTGATTTGTTTTTACAGGCCATTATCCTGCTATGCTGCTAAGCTTTACTCTTTATGAATCCATGCTAGTTTTTGTTGGCAGAATAGTTTGTGAAGATTTTTTCCTCTTCTTTTTCTTTTTTCCCAAATACAACATTAACAGTTTCCACTGCTTCATGCTTCTTCCTGTTTCTCTTCCCTAATAAAAGAGGAGAACCCCCTATTTTCTTCTCACTACGAATTCTGTACCATTGAGCATGCATACATTATTATAACTAGGCTAATCTTTTCAGGTCCTGCCAAATATGGGGATATCAACATTATATTAAGGCCATCTCATGTGGGCATATTTTTTACATTTTTAATTTGTATCCAGAATGAAAAGACCTCACTCGTTCATTTTATTGCACACCAGCGTCTACATCATTAGTATTAAGCAGTACTAGAAATCAGACAAAGCCTCTGCTTTCTACTGCTTTCTGTCTGTCTCAGGAAAGAAAAGCTGCAGCCCAACCCCAATCTCACACCCAGAATCACAATAGCAAGAACTGGCTGGCACTTTATTCATGATCTCATGCCCCCAACTTCACTGGGGAATAAGTGACTATCTCACAGCAATACTTGATGGGAATCAGGAAGCTCCTCCCGGAGGCACAGAGACAGGAAGCACAAAAAGAGTCACATCACTCTATTTTGATTCTTTAAATGTATCTCACTCTCTTCCTCCTATGTCCCCCTTTTTGCATGTCCAGTGTGTTCTTTGTGAATTAGATGTAAAAAAAAAAAAAGCCCTTATTTGATGACTACATATAAGACTAGAACTAAAAGGGATAATAAAACTGATATTCTTGGAAATATGTCAAATTGGCTGCAGAGTGCCACCAAGAAAAACAGAAGCTCAGTATTAAAAAAACGGATGTGACAACTTTTGTTAATATTAATCTAATCGGCTGCTTACATCTGTTTAATATCAGCTCTGCCTTTTGTTTAATCCCACTTCAAATGTATTATGTCCTGCACTGTACTCTAACCACAACAGAAGATAATCAGCAGCACTGCCAGAATGTCCATGAAGAGCAAACTAAACCCAAGCCTCGTTACTGCATGTGTTGTACCTGTGTATCATGTCTTCCAGCCTCTTCCCTTGCTCTTCATCTTGTTCCAGCTGTTTCCGCCGTGCCTCCTCTTCTTCCACTCCCATGCCCTGGAGCAGCCACCGCTCACGCATAGCTTTGGACTGAGGACACAAAGAAATGCTGGTTTCAGTCGGCTCAGTCACTCTAGAGTACAAATAGAATGGGAACCTTCTTGTGACTAGAAACGAATCCATGGTTGACTTGTAATTGTATTGAATTTTGTTTTGCTGTCTGCAACTAATTGCAAGTGGCTGTCCACAAGGCTGAGCATATGATACTCTCAACCTCTGGATGACCACTGGTGGAAGGAGACCCAGCAATGACCCACCAGGGTGCAATCACTCTCAGACGTAAGGTTTGCAGATAATCCCCATCTAATTTACAAGAACAGACAGGCTGCCAATACGTAACAATCAATCTGAGTTGATAAGTTCACACAAGTTTAACCACTGCTTTTGGAATAGATTATCCTATTTTCCTGTTTGATCAGAAGATCACGATGCCATGACTCCACAGCTGGTTGGCTTAGCATATAAACTGAGGTTGGTGGGAAATAGAGATGCAAAGGTTTAAAAACTAGAAGCACGGATGCATTTTTTTCCACTAGACTCTAGAACTGACAAGAAAGAAATGTAATAAATAAAATGTAATAAAGCATGCCAGAGTGCTTTATTTGACCAGGCAATGATCAATTAATAATTGACAAAAAGGTTGTGATTATTTGTCTGTCAAATCAATCCAGTGAGTAACTGTTAGCTCTAATAAATGGCAGCCACATTGGAAGCCTGTTAACTGATAAGGCCTTTATGGTACACTCCTGCTTTACTATTTGGATACAGTTGGTCTAATGGTGCATAGAGTCTTCTCAAATGACCAAATGAGAATGTTTAGAGCAGAAAAGGTTGTCGACCTGTTCAGATTGTGGAGATCAGCAGACTACATCAAACACTACATCAGCATCTTTGTGATAGTGTGTTTTTGTTAAACATGCTGTTAACTGCCACCGGAGCACCGTTACGGGGGCTAGATTCCTCTAATCACTGCCGAGCACAGCTAGAACAAATAACCAAACATGTAGGAGTTTTTATGTAACACAGGAACTCTGAACTCAGCTGCTACTCGTAGGAAACTACTCTTTGTTAAAGGCGAATCCCACAAGCCCGAGAGAGCTACAGCAACCATTCTCCGTGATGTAAACAACGTTATTTTGTTAGGAACGTTATAAAAAGCGCTTTGTCGGCTAAATATCATCATGTACAGTCAAGGTTGTTTTCTTCAACTAAGGGTGTTTTTTTCTGTGAACTATAACAAATTTATTTTTTCTCGAATTCCAAAAAGGGAAAGAAATTTAAGTACATTCACTGTGAGCATGGTGCTTTTCTATTAAGTTTTACTAAACAAGCAGTTTAGTGAAAAATTTTCCTTTGATCATTTTACTGCTGTGTGAAGAGACAGATGGTATTTTGGTGCACAAACATTTCTCAAATTAGACTAAACAGGGATAAAATATGAAGCAGATTTTCTACTGTCTCTCTCTTTCTGTTTAAATGATTTGTAAGATACTAATAAGCTAAAGAAACAATTCTTGTTTCGCTATGCCTTATAATAACAAAACCAACAACGTTGTTCTGTGTTTTATGGTATTTTATTGCGTCTCGATTTCTGTCTCCAGATTTGTCCCAGAGACATATCTGGGCACACAAAAATTCCATATGCTGCATGTGGTCCCTGTAGCCCCCTGTTTACATTCCATGGATAAACAATATAGATTAAGCCCCACATTAAACCCCAGGTTTGTTTGTCTGGTTCTTGCAGTATTAAACACAGAAAATCAACCAGGGTGCCAATCTTCTCATCACACAGGCTCTGGATTTCTTTAATGTTTTATAGATAATGCCAGAGCTCTGTTTACGCCATTAATGTCTCCGTTTCTGTCTGGAGCTTTGCTTTGTTACCACAACAGAGCGGAGCGGGAACACTGATTCACCTTTTAGCTGTTTACTGTCAAACTGTTGCTTGGCTGGAGGTCATAGAGCTGAAAATTACCCGTGTGACTCCCCCCACCGTGCGCAC